TTGGGGAAGAAAAATAATTTTCCAATTTCAAATGTTTAAGTGTTTTGATTTAGAAAAAAACTTTAAAAAACTGATTTAGAAATCAGAATGTTATTAAAAATTTAAATATTTTTCATACATTACGAAGATATACAAAACAGATTTTGTGGAACGTCTCGTCTGACCTTAAAGATAGATTTACAGGTATATATTTTTTTCATAAATAATAAATTGATTTAAAGTGTATCATAAATTTATCACGCCTGTGAGAAACATCGGATATCTACAGAATATTTGTGAAAAAAATAATGTTAAAATATATATAATTAAACGATTATTAGTTCAAACTTCACAAACCTACCCCTATGCTCTCAAGTTTTTCTATATCATAATACAATTATAACATAGGTGTTTAAAATATACTCTATATTTAGATTTGAAGCTTTGCAAGTATTTTAATTAACAAACTGTAAATCAAACAAAAAATCTATCCGTCCTATTAAAAAAGTGGGTTTTTTCATGTTTATTATCAAACTCATTTTGCTTAATCAAAAGTTAATGTGAAAGTTTAATTACTGATCTTGATATCTTTATATTTCAGCCCGGAGGACCGGACTGCTCTATATACATATAAGTTAAAGTGTTGTTTCTGGGGATTGAGCTGGGAGCAGTTAGTTAGAATTAAAGGTCTTCTTAACATTAAAGAAATTGTTAATCACCGCGTTCTTTCCTTTTATAAATTACGAGATACATAATACATGTATTTTTAATTCCATTAAGTGAATCTGTAAAAATGTAATAAAAATGTATATGTTTTGCAGGTTTTATATATAAATATACTTATCATTTACCATCGGAAAAACGACAGGTCCTTTGTTTTAAACTTCGAATTTTAAATGTCGCATCAAAACTTACTCTACACAGTTCGTGTTTTACATTCTTAAGGATGACCTTTACTCAGGTTTCAGAAAACAGAAAGGATATTTTAAAAAGTATGATATGTTCAATAAAAAAATGATTTAAATGGATAGAATAACTGAGTGTTATCTCAATATCACTTTAAAAATTTAATATTTTATTCTTTGAAGAAAATATACGGGAACAAAACTCAGTGTATGGTAATGCAGAGGAAATTCGGACTAAATTTTTAATTTTTCATTTTTGTCGAAATCTTTTATTTCTTGCGATATTAATCACAATGTAAAGATTATATGTATTTTAAAACTACAATTTACAAATATTATGTGTTTTAAAGATCATAAATTATATTAGAATGCAAAGAAATAATTAAATTCAAAAATGTGAACAAAAATCATTCAAGACAACATATTTCAATAATTTGATCATTGACCCAATATAATTTTAATACCATGAGAATTAGGGCAACAAAACTAACCTGAGGTTATTGATAATTAAGAGTTCTTATCAGTCAGATTTTTTAAATATTTGATTAAAAATGGGAAAATATATATATATATATATATATGACAGAGGAAATTCGGACTGTAATAATTTTCAAGTTTAGGACCCAAATTCTAATTGTTTCTTCATTTGAAGCAACTCTGTTCCATTGCTATAATATTTCATATTAAAAAAGTTTTGTTACTTGTAATATGTTGTAAGTGAAGAAAAAAATAGTCATAGTATGAAAAATTGAAGTATTTCCCGCGAAATATTCAGGGGCCACTAGCATGAAAAGTTGGTCATCGACCTTATAAAATGAAATTATAATTTAACACCAGATTTGTAGGTATACTATGTGCAATAGGTGGTTTTTCGTTCTTATCAATGGAATTTTTAGTCTTGTGAGTAAAGGTATACCTTAAAGTGAAATACATTTTTTATTATCTAGGTGATTTGTCTAGTTTAAATTTATATTTATACACCCTACATTTTCTTGACGAATTGTTAAAGTTTAAAAGGGTATCGTTTTGTTCGATTTTCATCCGACTATAGGTTTTCAAAATATTCTCGACTATCGTCCCCATCATGTAGACGCATGCCTTTTTCAACATACATGTATCGAAGCGGTTTGATGATCAAAAATCGTTTCAACTGTTTGCTTCATGTATTTGCTGGCCGACAATTGTTGGTTACATTAATGTTTTCTTGTTTTTGATTTTAAAAAACAATAATAAATTGTAATACAAAATCTACATTTAATTTTAGCTCTGACAACTGACTTGAAGAAAGAACAAGGCTTTATTAAAGGTAAGCCCCCACCACTAAAAATCTTTTAAACAAATACATAATTATATTCATTATACAAATATTACATGACTTCGAGGGTGACATACCAGAATATTTGTCCGAAGGTGACAAGAAAGGTCTGGAGTGTTATGTCACCCGATGCCGAAGGTGTATTGACCAAGGAAAGTGTGAAATATATACTGTTAATAAGACTGCTGATATTCCCAGTTCAACAAGTCATTTGTCAATGTCCATATGCATATTATTTTCTCCGAACATGACACAAGTTTAAATGCCGAAGTTAAAAGTCAACTTTAAAAGTCAGTAGTATTTCTTGTAAAAGTTCAATAAGGATAAATAACTTTTTAACATATAGGCCTAAGTCAGCGATATTTTTTTAAAACATATATTGAAACAGGAAATCTGAATAATGTTTTTCAGGTTAGGTCTTGAAATTTCGAAAAAGTTTGTCATGAAGTAAAAATTCGCTGCCCAGTTTATCGTAGAGTTTAACTGAATAAGCACATTAACACAATATAAATATATCTTTTTCCATATGCATAATGTCTTATTTTATCAGATTAAAAAAAATCAATTGATGATATTTTAAAATCAACATTTTTGCAACCTTAGAGCACATTATAACTTCAACAAGAAATAGAAACGCAGAGTAGTATAATATTCGGAATTTATTTAACTGCATGACCGAAAATTACGAAAATTGGTCAGATATGAATGTTTGTTACTGTGTACCAAAATCTGTGTTCAGATTTACTCAACCGTAAAATGTATTACGTCACGTAGGGAAAACGTTAGAAATCTCAAACCAAGTGCAATTTAATGACGAAGAGTTTGTCAACTATTCTTGTTGTACCATTTTATGCACCTGAGATATACACATTGTTTTTCAATATTTACAGACGATATAAATTTCTTTGCAATCTTGGTACATTTTAGCGAAGTTCATTGTGGCCTTCTTTTCGAAATGTCTAATCATGGACAAAGGCAACGACGGGGCACTTTCTTACCTGTTGTCAGAGAGTGCCTAGATTTGTTTAAATTTTAAACCAACTGTGAAGATGACGTCGATGCAAAACAGAACCACGTTAAGATCGGATTTTTCGTTCTAACACCTGTTTAATCGGCATCTTACTACAACAAAAAACGTTATTAATACAGAAGATTATTATAATCATTACAATCACCCTAAAACTGAAAGAAACCAAATGCGCAACTTGGGTTTTAGAGCCGATCAACTTTATGTTGTGTTCCTCTTACAAGCGCATGCGCACCCACGGATTGTATAGCCAGCGATTGAAAATAAACCATATGATGAATTCGAAGCAAAGGAGAATTAAGGCTGTGACAGAAGCGCGGAGGAGACCCTGAAGATAATGAGATTTTTCGATTTTCACTTTTGGGAGGTATCTTCATATGAGTTTCAATAACTCATGAAATATAAGACACAATCATATGGAATTTTGGTTACCTTTTAAAAGACGATTTTAAAAGCAGGATAGAAATATAATTTAATTCATCTCAAAAGTTTACCCTGCGTTACTTTTTCCTTTCAGTATACTTTCAAAAAAGGGGAAAACTTTATTGAATAAATTAATTTTTACTTATCTTGCTTGGTACACTTGTTCGAGTAGTAAAGAACAGTTTGTCAAAATTTTGTGTTATTTTTTGTTCCGCGTCATAGTTTTTTTCACAATTTCAGCAACTGTTAAACAGTTTTCTCTTTCCATTATCTTATTTCCAAACTGAAAGATTTGGTAAGAATTTTACGGAAGAATTTCCTCACAGGTTGCCTTTGTCTCATACAGAGTCTAAATTATTCATATGACCCATGGACTTTTTACACACAAATGTATCAATTCCCAATTCGTCAAACAAACTTTTACTGCTGCTCTGCAACGTTGTTTGACGTCACGTTTTCCTCTCTATTTCATAGAGAAGTTGCCACCTCTGATTTTTTTTCCACATAGCAAACTATTCATTCTTAATTAGGAATATGAAACTAGGTATCATTTTATAATCTGTGTTTCTTTTCATTTTGTGCCATTTTAGAAGGCTTGCCAACAGACATTATTTCAGGTATTAACTGCAAATGACAAAATTTTTATTTTTCCTTGGCTTGATTTTTGTTACCTCAAAATAAGTTGTAGTGGATCATGGTATCTTTTAAATTTTAAATACCAAATCTTGATACAATATGAGATTAAATAAAAAGATATGACAATAGTCATCGAACTTTTCCAGCAACTCTTGTTTATCAATCAATGCCTCAAGTTTTTGTATGAAGGATATGGACATAACGGACGACTATTCAATATCAAAGTCCATAAAGCAATAAAAACTTGGTGCAGAGCAAATGTGTTATAGATTGTATTGACGTCTTCTTCCAGTAAGATATCTAAATATAAAGCGTTTTTCGTATTTCATTTTCGACCCAAAGGAATATTTCGAGTCAAGGAGGAAAATCGATGACAATTTGTATTCATTTTGTTCACGTCCTTGTTATCTCTAATTGTGTAGTTTAATACCTCAACTAGGATTTTTATTACTTTTCATGTAGAATCTTGTGAAAAAAATTCTCTGATTATCAAAACTTCTAAATTATAATTTTTCAAATACTGAATTGTAGTTGATGTTTTTAAAGAAAATTCTATGGTGACTTTTTCTTCCTTAAAAATCTTATGAAGACCTATAAACATGTCATTTACAAAACTCATATAAGCCTCTGATAAGCACAGATCCTCATTTAATACTACTGATTGTAAAACATATTGTATATTGAATTATATATATAATATAAAATGTGTATAATCATGTATTTCGTTTTAGAACTGCAAAAGAATTTTTCGAAAGAAAAAAAGAAAATTGAAGGTTAGACCATGAATTGAAATTGCCCACGGGCAATTAAATGGATTCGTAGGTCTTGGGTTCTTAAAGGAAAATACGTCAATAACATTAATAAAAAAAATATTATTAAACGCCTGTAAATTAATGATCTCTAAAGTATTTATTTTTTATTTAAATTTTCCATCTTTAATACTAGTATTCTGATAAATCATATATGAATGAATCCCTTTTAACTTTACATTTTACATGTATCATTTATTTTTTCATGAAAGACGTTGTATAAGAAATGAGACATTACATGAATTGTATGTAACGTATCTGCACATCATAAGAAATTTTAAAGTATGATGCATTATATTTCAGGTTTAAAGTTGGATATACAGGAGTTGAAAGATCAAATCAATGCCCGTGGTATGATGCACAAAAGTGTTATGTAATATTTGCAATTTGTAACATTAGGTTAAAAGCATTTCTGATTGCACACACAAGTACTCTGATGTTGATATCAAGAAGATGCTTGAGTTTCTGATTGGCAATATCTATGTGGTTTTGGAGACCAGGTCTTCCAACAATCTATTGGAATTCCCATGGGAACAAATTGCCCTCCGTATGTAGCAGTCCTATTTCTGTATTCATATGAAGCAGAATTTTCGAAAAATCTTATGCATGAAAAGCAGAAAAAACTTGTTGTGGCCTTCAACTCGACTTTTAGATATATCAAGGACGTATTGTCAATAAACAATGGTAATTCCCATTCCTACGTCGATACGATATATCCAGGAGAGCTTGAGTTGAAGGACCTTTTAACAGCCGATAACTGTCAAAGGTGTCATAGATTACAAATGTTTGGTCATTCTTAATCAAAAATTATAAACTCTACGATATTTATAAATCTATCAATTCCAAAAGCATTTTTAGAACTTTTTTAAGTAACATATGAATACTTAATTGAATTGAGGGATTGCGCACAAGAAATCCCAGTCGCCCCCTTGAAAGTTTCTTCACACTTTAGCGTATACATGTATATATGTTTTAGAATTTTTTTTTCAGAATTGAATGAGGTCATTCCACGTAAGAATCTTTGGCAACAATTCAAGGAAAGCAATAGTATGTTTGTTATTTTTTTTTAAATATTCTTAAACAAATCATCAATTCATAATACGATTCCTACTAATGGATACTGTGACAATGATATTTGTACAAACAGTAAAATCGGATATGAGAGAATAGAGGGAGAGGGGGGAGATTCCGTCAAATTCTTTCCCTTTTTCTTCGTATTCATATACATGTATCAAGCAGACTTTCTTAAGTTTGTTTTTCTTAATATATCAAGGGCATCAAAAGTACTAGTAACTCTTTTTTAATCACAATCCATTTGTCATAATCAGTTTTTATTTTCCTCCTTAAAGTGCACTCGAATTACTCTTCAAAATATTTAAATTTTAACTGAATATTGGATGTCGCCTCGTTTTAACAATGTCGTTCTTATATTTAAATAATATTTATTTATGAAAGCAATTATTATATAGTAGCTGAAACGATAACATATTCCTCATGAATGTATGATATAAAACCCGCCAAGTAACTTTATTAACAAACAATATCGTTTATTTTTTATTTCCTGTTTCGGTTATTTCAAAGTTGCATTTTTTTCAGTCATCGTAAAAGTAGCTGTGGTGGCTATTCCCATATCGGTCATTGTAGCCATTTATATCATAAAAAGTAAGTAAGAATTAGAAATTTGGTACATCTTTCGTTTCGAAAATGCGTATACATGTACAATAAAATAACGGAAAAAAGTTGTTACTTCCTTATCAATATATTTTTTTCAAGCTAACTGGACATTTTTTTTTTCTTTTTTTTTACATCAGTGAGCCTTTAGATACATTTAAACAAAGTAGGAGTGATTTAATATGATAAATATCACAATTTTATTATTTGAAAATCATAAGCATTGGTGAAGTTTGATAATTTGTGATGAAGATATGGATTTTTTATACTTTAAGATACTGTTAAATGAAATGATTGTCCTTGTTTTATAGGATATTATTTGTCTAAACAAAGGGTGACTGACGCTGAATCTGTCAAGGATAATGAAAATGACAGTATGTACATACATTTTTAAATTCATCAGTTAATTTGATAAACTAGCCATTATACGTTTTAATTACTTTAATTTACCAATATTAAATCTAACTCTTTGCTTTATAGATTTGCTACCTGTGCCATGGCGTCCTATTCACAAAACATTAACAGAAATTTCGGAGGTAACTCTTTCCCAATAATAAACACGTTTTTATCTAAATATGAAGATGGGGGAAAATAATAGAAATATAATTCTCAAATAAACTAGAGATACAGTGAGCACTGAGATCACTAAATGATAACCCTCGCCTTCCATATGATTAAAATTGCACCATCCATGCTTTGCTCTGGAAACCCCGAATAAGTGAGAGATGAAAAATTAAAATAGGAGGTGCACAAAGGTATTATGTAATAAATCCGTGAAAAAACCATTAAATTTAATTCAGTTGTAAATGAGGAGTTACGGATAAGAAATGGGTACCCCTTAATATTATAAAATGAATGATATGTTTCTCTAAGGGAAACCCCGAAATATGCTACCGATCAATAAGTAAAAAAGATGATACACAATGGCATCAGGTACATGTAACAAGGAGTATGTAAAAGTGCCATTAAATTTCATTCACTGGTATAAGAGGGGTTGTGGATAAGAGATGGGTACCCCAAAGCGTAATAAGCGGGACGACTACAAACAGAAAGACAGACGGACATCAATATATACATGTATCCTCCCACTTTCCAAGCAGGAGTATTTTGAAAGCATTAGTTGTTAAATTTTAACTCTTGTCTTGTACAAAAAATTAATAATACACATTGGTGTCTAAAATCAAATGAAATGAATTGGTTTTAATATAACTCGTACTAAAATATAATTAAAAAAAAAATCTACTGGTTGATCATTATTCCCCTGCGATTCGCATCCACTTAAATACAACAAGATGTAATATAAGATAGTAATACAAATATGTAAAACTAGTCAATTTCGAATCAAGATATTAGCTGATATTTTGATGAATGTAAAAATCATATGAACAACAAAACTGTTATAAATAGTTTGATCTTGATTTTCCGAAAAAATAACATTGTCATAAAAAGAACAATTTAAAATTTACACTAGCCCCACAAAATTTAAGTTTTTCTAGCCTAGTGGTTCTTGAAGAGATTTTTCAAAGACGCCACATTATTTTTGTCATTTTTTTAATCATCCTCCTTTGAAAGGAGACTTCACTCTTCGTTTTGACAATTTAGAAATTCCCTTTACTCAAGCATGCTTTGTAGCAAGTTTGTTCTCAATTGGTGCAGTGGTTCTTGAGAAAAAGGTAAATATGAAGAAAAAAATACAGACGGACGGACGGGCGCAGACGGACGGACAGCTTACACCTGATGATCAGAAAAGCTCACATAAGCTTTAAATTCATTTGTGCTTCAAGCTGGGTCAAACTCGAAGATGAAGACCAAAAGCTCCTGAATATTTGAATCCACTGAAAAGTCTTGTCACAATAAATACATGTACTAATATGACGTATAAAAGTCTTAGCACAAACGCCCACATGGCAAAGGTAGTGGTTACAGCGTCAGGAGTTGATCCTCACAGTTCAGGTTCGAATCCCACTGTGAGACGTCGAGATCGGTCCTTCGGATGAGACCGTGTAAACCGAGGTCCCATGTCACAGTAGGTGCTAGAAGTTAAATTTTGTGGTAACCAAAGAAAGGTCATATCACAAAACAAAAAACACAACTTTGAAAAATAAAAGCCATAGCCCCACCCAGTCCGAAGTTATGGGCGTGGTTTAGTTTTTTCGGAGTAACAGACAGCAAGACGAAGGGACAAGTCAAAACATATATTCTCAGAATCTTCGATTACATGGCCACAAAAATTAATAAACACGAAGTAAGAGAATGTTAAATGATCAATGAATAACTAAATAATTCCATTAAAGGATTCAAATTACCATCTGTTTCACAGTATTTTCATACTGTACAATTTACCCTTAGGTTTCTTTCTTCCGTATTCTTGTAGTAGCTTTGTCCAGAACTATTGTTATCTTCGGTGTGTTTCATGTTAAACGTTGAATCATTTCATCATTTCAAAAAGTGACTTGATTTTTATTTAGACTTTTACATTTTCTGCAAACTTTGTCCTGATCCTGAGAAGGCTATTTGTAAGATTTCTTGTTTGTATACAAATGTTAAATTTTTTGTGGACAAACAGAAACACAGACAGAGAGCTAGACGGATAGACGGACAGACAGTACAAAAACTGTATTCCCGGAACTACTTTTAAGGGGGAATAAAAATATGAATGTTGAAAATAATAAACAGTTATTTAACAAGTAAAAAATGCAAAAAATGGACAAAAAAAATCAATTTTTAAAAACAAACAATAAAGCCATTCATTTAATAAATCAATCAATATCTGAATTCGACCGTAATGTAGAATTTCAAGACATATTTTTTTTTTCTTTTTTTTTTCTTTTTTTTTTTTTTTGTCAATTTTATTTTTATGTAAAATGTTCACACGCCTATTTCTGCGTGCCTTACTATCGAACTTGTGTGTATCATTTAACAGGGAATGGGAAATCAAACTTATGCAACAAACTGTAAGCTCTACCCGAACCATTGGACAATAATTGGTATATATTGCATTTAATTCGAAGTATGCTCAAATCCTACTTTTAATAAATAAGTAATATAACAAGAGGCCCATGGGCCTTATAGGTCACCTGAGCATCATGCAACAACTTTCAAGTGATTGAATTTGCGTCATGTTTAAGCTAGATGCTATGGCATTCACAATTTTGAAAGAGGCACCATTGCCCATCATAACTTTACACTTTTTTTCAACATTCATTTCCCAGATTGATACACTTAGCAATTGCTTAGTTTGGTTACTTAATACCCATAGGCAGGGTAGGGGAACAAATATGCATTTCAACTAATCAGTAATATTCAGCAATAATCAGTAGTGCCCCTAACACTGAGACATAAACCTCTGACCCTAGGTCCACACATTGCACAATTTTTAAAAACGTACCCTTGCTTATCAAAAAATAATGTTCGATTAATACAAAGAAGCAGATTTCAAACAATTAATTAATTTTTAAAATATGTGTAGAGTCCCCCCCCCCCTGGTACCCCTGCCCATTGGACCTTGAAATTCACAATTATGGAGAAATGGACCTTGCTCATCATAACTATAAAAGTAGTTCATCTGCTTAATACCCAGGAGAGAAAAACATTTCAAAGATTTAATGTATTTTTACTATATAATATAATCATTTATAGCCCCGTCCTAACACCAGAACCCCTGAACCTTGAGCCATGAAATTCCCAATTTTTGTAGAGGCATTCTTGCTCAACATCACTATGTACTGAATTAGTTTATTAAATACCTAGGAGCAGAGAAGAAGATTTTCAAAGAATTAATTCATTTTTACTTTATAATCAATAGAGCCCCCCCCCCCATCACTAGAACCCCAGATCCTGGGACCATCAATTCATAATCTTTGAAGAGGCACTCCTCCCCATCATAAATATGTATTTAATTAGCTTATTCAATATCTAGGAGCAGAAAATAAGATTTTCAAAGAATTAATGCATTTTCACTAAATAATCGATAGAGCCTCCCACACACATACCAGAACCGCTGACCCTGGGGCCATAAATTTAACAATTTTTAAATAGGCACTTGTTCCCATCATAACTTTGTACTTACTTAGTTTATTCAATACCTAGGAGCAGTGAAGAAGACTTTCGAAGAATTAATAGAGCCCCGCCCGAACACCAGAACCCCCGACCCTGGGGCCATAAAATTCACAATTTTGTAAGAGGGACTCTTATCCTTTATAAATATGTACTTAGTTTATTTACTACCCAGAAGCAGAATAGAATACTTTCAAAGAATAAATGTATTTTCACTATATAATCAATAGAGCCCCACTCTAACACCAGAACCCCTGACCCTGGGGCCATAAAATTCACAATTTTGGAAGAGGCACTCTTGCCCATCATAATAATGTATTTAGTTAGTTTATTTAATACCCGGGAGGATATAAAAAAATTTTTAAAGAATTTATGCATTTTCACTATGTAATCAATAGAGCCCCGCCCTAACACCAGAAACCCTGACCATAAAATTCAAAATTTTGGAAGAAGCACTCTTGCCCATCATAACTATGTACTTAGTTAGTTTATTTAATACCCAGGAGCAGAGAAGAAAATTTATGCAGTTTTACTTTATAATCAATAGAGCGCCGCCCTTAAACCAGAGCCCCTGACCCTGGGGCCAAAATATGTATAATCTTGGTAAAGGCACTCTTGCTCATCATAACTATGTACTTAGTTAGTCTATTTAATACCCTGAAGCAGGGAAGAAGATTTCCAAATAATTAATGCATTTTCACTACATAATCAATAGAGCCCCGCCCTGATACCAGAACCTTTGACCCTGGGGCCATAAAATTCACAATTTTGGAAGAGACACTCTTGATTATTATAACTATGTTCTTAGTTGGTGCTTTTATTACTCAGGAGCAGAGAAAAAGATTTTCAAAGAAATAATGCATTTTTTTACTATAAAATCTATACAGCCCCACCCTAGTACTAGAACCCCTGACCCTGGGGCCATGAATTTCACAATTTTGGTTAAGGACTTAATGCTAATTATAATCATGCCAGCAGTTAGACTGTTTGGTGTCCAGGAGTAAAGAAGATTGCACTAATTTTAGTGGTTTTGGCCCCACCTCTCAGGCCCCGGGGGGGGGGGGGGCAGGGTCCATGAAATTCCCAATTTTTGTAGAGGCATTCTTGCTTAACATCACTATGTACTGAATTAGTTTATTAAATACCTAGGAGCAGAGAAGAAGATTTTCAAAGAATTAATTCATTTTTACTATATAATCAATAGAGCCCCCCCCCCCCCATCACTAGAACCCCAGATCCTGGGACCATCAATTCATAATCTTTGAAGAGGCACTCCTCCCCATCATAAATATGTATTTAATTAGCTTATTCAATATCTAGGAGCAGAAAATAAGATTTTCAAAGAATTAATGCATTTTCACTAAATAATCAATAGAGCCTCCCACACACACACCAGAACCGCTGACCCTGGGGCCATAAATTTAACAATTTTTAAATAGGCACTTGTTTCCATCAAAACTTTGTACTTACTTAGTTTATTCAATACCTAGGAGCAGTGAAGAGGACTTTCGAAGAATTAATAGAGCCCCGCCCTAACACCAGAACCCCCGACCCTGGGGCCATAAAATTCACAATTTTGTAAGAGGGACTCTTATCCTTTATAAATATGTACTTAGTTTATTTACTACCCAGAAGCAGAATAGAATACTTTCAAAGAATAAATGTATTTTCACTATATAATTAATAGAGCCCCACTCTAACACCAGAACCCCTGACCCTGGGGCCATAAAATTCACAATTTTGGAAGAGGCACTCTTGCCCATCATAATAATGTATTTAGTTAGTTTATTTAATACCCGGGAGGATATAAAAAATTTTTTAAAGAATTTATGCATTTTCACTATGTAATCAATAGAGCCCCGCCCTAACACCAGAAACCCTGACCATAAAATTCAAAATTTTGAAAGAAGCACTCTTGCCCATCATAACTATGTACTTAGTTAGTTTATTTAATACCCAGGAGCAGAGAAGAAAATTTATGCAGTTTTACTTTATAATCAATAGAGCGCCGCCCTTAAACCAGAGCCCCTGACCCTGGGGCCAAAATATGTATAATCTTGGTAAAGGCACTCTTGCTCATCATAACTATGTACTTAGTTAGTCTATTTAATACCGTGAAGCAGGGAAGAAGATTTCCAAATAATTAATGCATTTTCACTACATAATCAATAGAGCCCCGCCCTGATACCAGAACCTTTGACCCTGGGGCCATAAAATTCACAATTTTGGAAGAGACACTCTTGATTATTATAACTATGTTCTTAGTTGGTGCTTTTATTACTCAGGAGCAGAGAAAAAGATTTTCAAAGAAATAATGCATTTTTTACTATAAAATCTATACAGCCCCACCCTAGTACTAGAACCCCTGACCCTGGGGCCATGAATTTCACAATTTTGGTTAAGGACTTAATGCTAATTATAATCATGCCAGCAGTTAGACTGTTTGGTGTCCAGGAGTAAAGAAGATTGCACTAATTTTAGTGGTTTTGGCCCCACCTCTCAGGCCCCAGGGGGGGGGGGCAGGGTCCATGAAATTCACAATTTTTGTTCCCCTTCAACAAAGGATGCCTTATGCCAAAATTGGTTGAAATTGGTTGAAATTGGTTGAGCGGTTGCAGAAAAGAAGCTGAAAATGTTCAAATATTAACACACGACGAACGAAACACACCCCACGACGCACGACGACAGACGAAAACGGATAGTTTACTCAGTTGACCTAAAAATAGATACTCTGTGGGTGTTTAATTTCGATATGGTAAATGTTTATTGATATATGCGTTATTGACAGTTACTGAAGCCGTGTCTGCCACTTTATAATGCAACATATTACATCGCGTCTTATTTAACACAAAGTTTGCATATATATCATAAACGCTATCTTATGAAAGTTTCTTTTTCTTTAAAAAATATCTGTAGATAAAAGACGATCTTATGCAAAGCATATCGGCGGAATTGAAAAATCATGATTCTACACTCAATATTTTACTTCTTGGAGAAACTGGGAGTGGAAAATCGTCCTTTGTGAATGCATGTTTCACAGCTTTGTTACAAGAAGAACAATATATTGCAAGGGCTACAGCTGGAGCAATGACTAGCGATAGTGTAACTCTACGGGTAAGTCTTCTGACACATTTTATTAATTAAATGATAATCAATTAAAGGACTTCTTGAAGGATGAACTTTTTTCTCTTTTTTTTTATTTCGATCAGTTTTACAAAGGTATATATACAGTTCCGAACACTTTTCAAGCGCACACTGTTTTTCGCACAAATTGCGGTCACATTCATCTTGTAAAAAAAAACATTATCGAACTTCAGTATGAGACAAAACAAGATTATGTATTAAATGTCAAAAGTACATATTCTTTTAAATCATTATCTTAATTTTTCAAAGTCGATGTTTTAAAGTTTAAAGATAATTTGATAAATGGTGTGGCGTTACATTTGTATGATTCTACCAAAAGTATTTACCAAAAAAATTCTAACTTTCTTTGATTCTATTTATTTGAAATACTCAAATTGACTTCCTTAATATATAAGTATTTTTCTAAGGACATTGCTTATTTTCCGTATTTTTCGTGGTTTTGTCGAAATATGGCAGCATAAATGACAATGCTGGATGATGGAATAAAGCCAAAAGATATAAAAATATACCAAAGAATCGTTTAAGAAATTTAAAAGACAATGTGTTGACCATCTTTTTTCCTTTTTTTCTTAGTTTGGGATGGGGGTCAGAAAGAATTTTCGTGTTTTATATAAATTTTGTTTTGCTAATAAATTTCCTCGATGGAACCTGATCACACCTCTGATGTTTTGGAGGACTGTGTCGCTCTGCTCCTATTTTGTATTGTTTTATGGACGTTGATGTTAAAATCTGTTTGTTATCTCCATATCCTTTATCTTTGATCTTGTGTCTACTTAGTAGATTCGACCCTTATTATATACAGTGTCGATGTTTTTTTAGTGCCAGCTATATATATGCAAAAAGTGGAATCACCATTCATAGGAGCTTTGCTGTAAAAGATATACGAGGGTTGATCCAAAAGTAATGTCACAGTGCCCATATCTTTAATATTTGGCGCCATATTATCAAATACAATAAATCAAAAGATACACACATATAAATCAAATCAACATTGAAATTTTAATTTAATAATGTTTATTTGAATTTATTTTATAAATGATTTAAACATGCAGCATAGTGGGTGCCGCCGCGTCACAACGGAACGTCACTTTTAAAGTGTATTTTTTTTTATAATAAAAAGACATACATTAAAAAGATTTTAAAAAGCACTTAATCTCTCATTTTTTAAGAAGACACAACTTTCGTCATTTTTAAGTCTTTAATTGAAAAAAATGACAGCATTGGTATTTGTGATCATAAACATTGTTTTTTTTTTAATCTGTTGAATTAAACAAATTAAAGGGATTGTCGAAATAGGGGGGAAATGGTTCGACTAGTTGTAATGCATTTTGCTTCAAAATAATGGAATGATCACAAGCGACAGGTTCATTCATTAATCAAACTTACATTATAAAGAATGTAAATAAGACAAATCTAAACAGATGAGTTCAGCAATTTTGGGCGGGTGCTTGGTCACTGAATGATCTGCAGAGGAAAAGAAGACCAAAAGACAGGATATTAGACGGCAAACGTCCAATGGTGTCTGACGTTATCCAAAAAAGATAGCCGTATAGAGTGTCATGTGAATTTTTTAATTTGTCTTATGCTACTGTTAACAAAATTTTAACAGAAGGCTTAATCATGAAAAAAGTAAGTGTATAGTAGTATCAAGAATCATGAAAGAAAGTGGAATTGGTGAAAGTGTTTGCGAATTACATATTTTTTAAAAATAAAACAAAGAGGAACGATTAAAAGTATGACGGTGCTTATTCGTCATATAACGTTATATTTAGTAGCGGCGACTACCATAAACGCACATTGTTTAAAATCCGATATTTTGGAAAGTGTCATGTTTCTTTGTCAGGTCTGATTTTGAATAAATAAAGCTTCCATCATGTATAATTTTGTTGGTTTACGTCAATTTATAGCAATTTCATCAAAGTTTCGACATTACTTTTGGATCAACCCTCGTATAATCCCCATTTTCATTTTTTTTTCAAAATATTTAAAGTGTTTTCTATGGATGTCTTTTACTAGCTTCAAAGCTGGGTATTGAAAACTAACATTCTTCAAAAGAAAACTTAATGATTTTTTCCGATTTATATCTTTTTAAAACTTGATCTAAACATTTTTCCAAGCCTTCTTACAGCGGTCATCATTCGAACAAATTTGAATATAAAGAAGGTTATACAAAAAAGTTTAACTTTCTTGACAACTGGCTACTGAGAAGATTTTCAAAGATGAAACCAAAAACGTCAACTAGTTATTTAAATTTTCCCTTTGAAAAAATGTAGTGGGATAATTTAAACAAACTTGTATCATATTCAAATAATAAGCTTTATGGCAATTTTTTCATGCAATTGGTGTAGTTGGTTATAGAGAAATTGAAAATGATGTCGACACTTTTTACAAACAATCCCTCAAAAATAGGCTTATTTGATTTATTTATTCCTTTGTGCTCCTTGGGGAGCAATGGTTTGAAGCAACCTTGCGCCATCAAACTCTGTTTTGCATTATGTTTTTGACATGAGTACAGGCCAATCCTACCTCTTTTGCCTACGACTACGGATCCTCTTTAGGTGGGTATTGTCCCCTCCCCCTCACCATCTTTACTTCTGGATTCCAATCCAGGGCTATATTCGTGAT